AGCTATATACTGCTGCATAAGAAATAACCCCAAAACTTAGCAGCTGAAAACATTTATTTCATGGTTTCTGTGGGTCAGGAATCTAGGAGTTGGTTCAGCTGGGTAAGTGTAGCTTAAGGTGTCTTATGAGGCCACAGTTGAGGTTTTGGCTTGGGGCTGTGTTCAGCGCAAGGCTCGAATGGGGTTGAAGGGTCCAATTCTATGTTCACTGACTTCACAGGGTTGCCTCATAACACACCAGCTGGCTTCCACCAGGACAAATAACCCAAAAGAGAACACCCAGAGCAGTAGCCACAGTTTGTTGTTATTGTTGTTTTTAAGCTTAAACATGTGGATTTTTTTTTTCTTATATAGCAAGAAGTCCAGAATTAGGCAGCTACTGGAATCTCTTCACCTGCTCCATGATGCCAGACTTTTTCTTTTTGGCTCCACCACCTTTAGTGTGTTCTCTTTATCCCCAGGCTTGTTGCCTTCTGATTGCAAAATGGCTGCCGCACCTCCAGGCATCACACCCACACTGAAGGCACACAGAGAAGCCAGCTGCATCTCCCTTTATCAAAATGGAAGAAGCTTCCCTAGAGGGCCGGCCGAGTGGCGCGATGGTTAAGAACTCGCTTGGGATGCCAGAGGGCCCCGGTTCAGATCCCGCATATGAGGGCCAGTGACACTGCCCTCCACAGTTAAGATGCTGAACCACAGCTCAACCTGGAGCTGGGCTGCTGAGAGTCGCCTGTGATGGCATAGGCTGCAGCCCCTGTGGCAGTGGGCTGCCATGGGTTACCGTGTGTAGCCAGCAGCCAGGGTGTGTAGCCAGCAGCCAGCAGCCAGCAGCCAGCAGCCAGCGTGAGCGGCTGTCCAGAAGCTGGCGACTGATCTGCCTCGCCCAGGAGAAGCGCAATGATGGTGCCAACTTGGGCCAGTGAAGCAACTCCACAACTAGACTCAAGAACAAAAAGACAGGAACTTGTCTGTTCCCCTTCCCCTAATTCCCCAGCGCTGTTCCCATCCCCCAATACCTCTGCCCCCCGCCCCCCGCAAAAAGAAAAGCTTTCCTAGAAATATCCACAGCATATTTGAAAACATGGCCACCCCTCCTGTAAAGGAAACTAGGAAGTTGGGGGTAGGAAACCATACCTTTTAAACCTAATGTAAGTGCCATCTCATTTGCTTCTGTTGTGTGATATTAAAAATCAGTAAATCCAGAGTTCAATGGAGGGGATTACACGAAGGTGTGAATACTGGGAAGTGGGGGATCACTGGGGACCACCTTGAAGGCTTCTCCTCACAGGTCCCAACGCCAGGAGTCTAGATTACAAAATCCAGGCAAAGTAAATATGCCCCAAATCTAGCTGGTGGTCGGTGTATTCTGGAGGTCCGGGTGGCTTTTCCTTTTTTTCTGCTTGACCTTCTACTTGACCTGCAGTATTGTATAGTGTATCAGGAAGTGCTTGTCATACCACAGACTCCCCCCTTATCTGGCTACTAAGAAACCAACACTGGCGAATGAATTTGAATGGGTCCATGGGACTGCCAGAGCCAAACCTGTGTTTCAAAAGTAGTAACATAGAAAGGCACAGACTTGAATGGGAACACAAGCATTGTTTACTGCAGCGTGAATGAGCCAAACAGAAATGTTCTGAATGGAGTTACAGTTCTTCTGAATGGAGTTAAACAGGCAGGGGTGTCTCTAAGGGGAACATGTTGGTTATTATGGCGAGAACCCCAGTATTTGTTTCCACTCTTGATGGGTTGGATTGTTAGGGCTGTAATGACTTCAGAAGGTCATTTTGTTGACCTGAAATCAAGATCCAGTTTTTTTTTTTTGGTTTTCTTAGGACACAATTACAGCTTTCTTTAAATATTTCTTTGTGGGAGAGGAAACCACACTTCTACTCAATTAAGAGAAATCATTTTATTTTTTATTTTTTAAAAATTTTATTGGGGAACAGTGTGTTTTTCCAGGACCCATCAGCTCCAAGTCAAGTAATTGTTTCAATCTGGTTGTGGAGGGCGCAGCTCACTGGCCCATGTGGGAATTGAACCGACAACCTTCGTGTTATGAGCACTGTGCTCTAACCACCTGAGCTAACCAGACACCCCTATGAGAAATACTTTTAACAGTACAGAGGTATTTTAATTTTTTACACTTATCATGCCATAAATTCATAGAGAATGGGTTTCCAGCAGCTCAGGCTCCTTTCTAATGGTTCTCACAAAGTGTGCTTCTCTGGGTGGAGCAGGCTGGCCCTTCAGTTGAACCAAAGTACCTTTCTCTTTGACTTCCTTCTTTTTTTGATCATTTTCCTTCATGTTTCAGGAAGGTATCTCGGCTCTTAAGAGTGCTTAATATGCAATAAGTGCATTAATTCTCTTGGCAAGAATCTTGCCCTTGTTTGATCAAGATCCAGTTTTTATAAGATGAAGTTTGGGATTAAGTAGGTGAAAGAAATGTATCTAGTAGGAGGGGCTTATAGGAGGAAATCTACTGTATTAGCTTCTACTATATTATGCTGTACCATAGTTTCACAAAGTGGGTGGCTTAAAACAACAGAAACTTATTTTGATTTCCCTCTGTACAAATTAAGGTGTTGGCAGGTTGGTTCATTCTGGTTGCTGGGAGAATCCAGCTGTAGGGTGGGAGGAAGGTCTCTGGCCCCCCATCGTCACAGCCAGCAATGGCGGGCTTCTCACTTTTCTTATGTCTTCTACCTGAAGCTGGAGAAAGTTCTCTGCTTTTAAGAGCTGTGTGATTAGACTGGCCCCACCAGGAAAATCCAGGATAGTCTATTTTTAAGTCCATAACCTGAATTATGCACAATCCCTTTTGCCATATATAACATAAGCTATTAAGATCCAAGGTCCAGGGTGTGGACATCTTTGGGGGCTTAGATAATACTGTTTTTGTCTGGTCAGACATGATTATGAAGGGGTCTTGTTTTTGTCTCACTCTATCCTGGCGAATGGTCTTGTCTGATATTGATGCTCTATGAAATTATGTTTTAAAATGAGGACACCACAGCTCAGCTGTGGACACCAGGCAAACTCCCAGCTGACTGCAGTCAGGGCCTGCCTTTTCCTTTCTCACTGTACACTCACCACCCAGCTTTTGCACATGCCGTTCCCTCTGCCCACAACACCCTATCCTCCTTTCTTCACCCAATTCTTCTCCTCTGAGAAGACCTCTGATTATCCAGCCTGCCAGCTTCCTTAACCCACTTTCAACCCAGGGTATATCTTCTGGCCGTGGTTAGGATCATAATTTTTTATTTGACTTTCTGACTGTGAGCCCCAGGAGACCATGGACCGTGTCTGTCTCATTTGTCGCCATGTTTCCAGCACAGGCACACAGCAGATCATTGACACCTTGAGAATGTGAGTGACTAAGAACTATATAGAATGTCAGAACTACAGAAGCCAAGTCCTTAGGATAAGTTGCTGTACCTATAGCAGGGGGTGCCTGGGAGGCAGCAAAAATCAAGTTGCAGGAGATTTAGCTTGTTCCAGAATGATTCACTTGACCTGCACCCCTCAGTTATGTCAATATGAGGTAACAGGTTCCCTGCCCCAAGGAAGGTGTGACAAGCCTCTTTCTCAAATTTTTATTTTTAAACCTGGCTCTTGTCCAATGGAAGGTTAACTAGGTATTGCCTTTGGCACCTCCACACCTCCCCACCCCAATAATAAACAACAATAAACATTTATGCTAAGCCCCTTCTTTCTGGTGACAACCATCATTCCAGGTGCACAGGGCTCCATCCTCCAGATTTCACAGCCATGGGAGAGACAGAAAACAAACATCATCAAATGGATAAAGCGAGTTGATGCTATGACAGAAATAAAAAAGAGGGCTGGGGATGGAGCACCAACAACTCCGCAGGTGAGGGAGGTCTTTCTTAGGAAGGGATAATTGGGCCAAGAACTGACGGAAGTGAAGAGCTGGCCAGGGGAAATGCTGGGTGGGGGCAGAGGGAACAGCACAGGTGAACTCCCTGGCAATTGGAGAAGGGAGGCTGGTGTGGCTGAAGCTGAGGGAGAATAGAGAAGAGGAGGAAGAGGTGAGGAGGTGGGAGAAGCAGAGCAGTGGGGACCCACGGAGAAGAACAGGGGAGATCCACGGTCTGACCCCAGCAGTGTCACTGGGTTGCCTTTCAGAGAATGGACTCTGAGGTCAAGTCGTCTTGCCTGAACTGGCCCCCCCACGATTCACACCCTGCTTCTCCCCACAACCAGGACCACTGTAACCATCCTATAATAAATAATATTGCAAGGGGGTTGGAGAGGACAATAATCCAGGAGGAGGGGCCGGCGAGGAATTTGAGCCGCTCGTGGTTCCATTTTGGCTAAATTCAATTCCTGGTCTCGCTGAGCCTGTTTTCCCACCTGGATCGCGCAGTGTTAATTTTTCTGCCCCTTCCCTCTTCAGCTTCACAAGCCGGAGGCTGAGAATACGGGCTAGAAGAGCGCGGCAAAACGCAAAATGATAATCACGGGCTCAAGAGGCTTTCTTCTGACGTAGCGGGGTCTACTTACCGCGCGTGGACAGCAGGCTCTGGCGCGCCCTGGCGGAGGGGAAACTCCCGGCTGACGCCGCCGGACCATGTGTGAAGTCGGGGCCGCCATCTTTCCTCCGGGCAGCGGCCATTTTGGTAAAGGCAATGTTCTAGATTGTTGTTTCTGTCCGCCCCTCCTGCCTCGCCAATGTCTGAAATGAGCGCCGGGATGAGGTTTTATAAAATGTACACTCTTGAAAAGAAAAACAAGTGGCTGATAGCCTTCCTTGGCTTGTGTCGGGACCGGGACATCATTTCCTTTACCAAGATGGCGGCAGCACCGAGACGTAATCAGCACGCACCGCCGGGAGCTCAGCACGCAAACCCCGCGGTGACGCAACGGAGGTGCGACCTGGCCGGCGCTGGGGAAAGGAGGTAGGAGAGGCTGCTGTGCGGGCGGAGCCGGGGTTAGGGGGGCGGGGTGCGAGTGGGCCTGGCGGGCATCTGGGCCGGGGACCACCCTCCGGGAGGGCTAGAGGTGGGGTGCTCGGAAACGGAGGCACTTCCGGCGCCCAGTCTCGACGGCTCCCGCTGGGGCTGTGCCCATTACCCAGAGCGCGCGACTGAGACTGAGAGACAGCGTCGTGTTCGAGGCCACCCAGCTCCATCCCTGCCCTGAGCAGCTTCCAGGCTTGGGGGTGACAGAACTGCTACGGACTCGCGCCCGCCTCCTCCCCTCCCCCGCCGCCGTTTCCCCGGCCACTTGCAGTGGGATTAAGGCTGGGGAAAGGGACGACGGGCTGGGGGAGCCCAGAAGGGGGCGCGGGAGGGCTTCTTGGAGGAGGCGGCATTGCGCTCTGTCTGTTCTCTCTTACTTTCACATCCAAGCAACCAGGTGGGTCTTGATTCCCTCTTTAGTGTACCCTCTGTCCAGCCGGACCCCGGCCTGAGCTCCCTGCTCTGTCTCACATCTCGGTTCACTTACCACCCCAGAGGGCTCTGACCCGCAGATTTTCGCCTGGCGCCTCTAACATCCTCTGCATCCTCCCATCACCTAGAATACAAATCCCTCTTTCCAGCCTGCCTCCCCCACACCCCTGGGGGCTCAGGTTTTCCCTCTCCTTTGGGCCTGTTCTTAGGTGCCTCATCCAGGAAGACACTCACACACCCCTGCTGGGTCAGAAGCCCCCTGTAGGCTTCCCCAAGCACCCTGCATATCTCTATTACAGTTCTGATCGAGAGTAGTCACTCTAATTGTTTATTTCCCAGCCAGCCTGGGAGTCCTATTCAAGCAGGAAGCCCATGGGCTCTGCCTCTTTCTCAATATCCGACTCATACTAGGTGCTTAGTGCATGTTTACTGAATGACAAAGTATGTGAGTGAGTGACTTTACCACACAGAGAAGAAAAGCTGTCTGTCTTAGTCTGCTCTGGCTGACATAACAAAATACCACAGACTGCACAGCTTGAACAACAGACATTTATATCCTCACAGTTCTGGAGGCAGAAAGGTTAAGGTGCCAGCCAGTTCATTTCGTGGTGCAGGCTCTTCCTGACTTGCAGACGGCTACCTTCTCACTGTGTCTTCACACAGTGGAGAGAGCAAGCTCTGGTGTCTTTTGCTCTTATGGAGGTACCAGCCCTATTAGATTAGGGCCCAACCCTATGACTTCATTTAATCTTCATCACCTCACCAGCCCTGTCTCCAAATAATCAAAAAAGCCCTGTCAGGCTTTGGGATAGAGATGGGTTCTTGAGCATGGGAGAAGGGAGTGGTGCGGCAGTCTCTGAGTGGGCAAGGTTTTCACAGGAGGAGGGGGCAGGGGAAGGTATATCAGGTGAAGGCATAGCAAGAACAGAGGCTGGATGGGAGGTAAGTGGGAAAGAACAGTGAGATGAGTTTGGACACAACACAGAGCATGAAGTAAATACTGGGGGAAGCCTAGAAATCAGTGCTTGTTCATTGATTTGCTCAAAACATTTATTGAACAAATGAATGAGGGTGTTGGGGACACAGCAGTGACCAAGGCAGTCCCGGCCCCACCCTCACGGAGCTCCCAGCCTGGTGAGGAAGATGGACATTTGTCAAACAATTATATAAATGAACATAAAGCAACCCCAGACAACTGCCTTACAGAGAAGTTTGTGGTTTGAAACTCAGAAGGTGTCTCAGGGAAGGCTTCCTGGAGGCAACAGCACCTGAGCTGGACTCTGAAGTTTAAATAGGAGTTAACTGGGTAAAAAGAGGTGCAAAGAGCAGTCAAGTGGAGGGCAAAGCAAGTGCAAAGGCCCTGAGGTGGGAACCTGCTTGATATGTTTGAAAAATGGCAAGAAGGCTGGTGTGGCTCCTGCTGAATGAGTGAAGAGGAGAACAATAGGTGAGGAATTTCCTCATTTGTAACTTGGACAGTCACCCCGTTTCTTAGTGCTCTCCTTGGGAATCTGGGAGGGGGTTTCTGTTGGTTACATTGTAGATGCTCAGTAATGAATGCTGGATTTAGGGGGCCAAGAAGCAGTTGGGAGAACTGCGAGATTAGGCTGACATATCCACACCCCACCCCTTGGCAGCTCTTGTGTGGGTAGGGACTGGAATCACCCCCACATCTGAGATAAGGAAATTAGGGCTTGAGGGGAGCACATCAACGATGATTACAGAGCCAAAAGTCAACCCTAAGTCTCCCAGGTCCACTGATTCCCAGTTTGTCCTGTTCTTCCCCACGGGGCTCATTCCCCAGTTTCAGCCTGGAGGGGCTGCCTTTCTGTGTCAAGTGAGGGGCCCCAGTGGTCTCAGAGCCCTGATCTACATTGATATTTCTTGAGGGGCCAGCCGGGATCTGCAGATGGTGCAGTGGTTAAGAGCACGTAGTCGGGACTGAGGGGGTGGGCCTGGGTTGGAATCTGGACTCCTCCAACTAACCATCTGTGTGGCTCTAGCCTGTCACGTCTGAAAGCCTCAGGTGCCACATCTGTAAAATGGGGACCTGGCCAGGTACTTTGGCTTTCTTACCTTAGAATGGGAATAAGGACAGTCCCCATGTTTAAGGCTTTGGGGCATTCAATTGAGTCAGGAGTTGTTGTCTCATAGTTCTGAGTCAGGATGGCCCCACATTCTCTCACCTTCATTCTTGGCTCTGGGCCTGTTCCTCCTATGTTCAGCAAAGGCTGAGCTGAAGTTGTTCAGGGGAGAGAGAATGAACCAGGAGGGAGGCACATCAGCCCACTTTCCAGATGAGGAAAACTGAGGCCCAGAAAGCCCGTTCCCTCAGCTGCACAGCACTTGGTCCTCAGTCAGCACTTGAAGGGGGCGCTGTTTATGTCTCGGCTGCACAGCCTTCCTTTCCTTACCTGAAAGGCAGGCTTTGGAGGTGAGACTCCAGGCTAAGCCTCATGTGACCTAGCTAGGTACATTGGCTTCCCCACCTTAGAATGGGAATAAGGGCAATCCCTACGTTTAAAGCTTTGGGGCATTTGAGTTAGTCCATATAAAGCGCTTAGTGGAGAGCCTGGCACAGGGAGGGTGGCACATGCCATTGGTGTGTGTTGTCATTTCCCTAGCACCTAGTGTAGGACTCACAAGACCAGGTGCCCGCTGGACAACATTTTCCAGCTGTGTGAGCCAGGGCTGGATCATCGGTTGTAGTTGATGGCAGCTGCTTACCTAAGGTGAGGGGCACTCAGCCTCAGGGCTGTGGGACCCAGGGACTGAGGCCTCAGAGGTGGAAGAGTGGGGGCGGGAGGCACACAGGTAGCTACACAGGACTGTGGGGTTCTACAATAGCATGACTCATACAAGCCAAAAAGTGGAGACAACCCAGATGTCCATCAGTGGATGGATGGATAAACAAACTACGAAGGTCAGACAACTAACTTTGCGAACTCATCCTAGAAAAAACTACATACCTCATTGCTAAATACCACTACAGTCACCTTTGAAGTACTCCCCTTTGGGAAGCTATGCATCAATGCCAGTGCCTAGTCCATCCTTCAAAGCAATTTTGGAACTCTTTCTGGAATGGCCATCAGAGCTGTCATCATATTACCCATGATGTCCTGAATGTCATCAAAATGTCTTCCTTTCAGTATTTCCTTTATCTTTGGGTAAAGAAAGAGGTCATTGGGGGCCAGCCAGATCAGGTGAGTAGGGAGGGTGTTCCAATACAGTTATTTGTTTACTGGCTAAAAACTCCCTCATAGACAGTGCTGTGTGAGCTGGTGCATTGTTGTGATGCAAGAGCCATGAATTGCTGGCAAAAAGTTCAGGTTGTCTAACTTTTTCACGCAGCTTTTTTAGCACTTCCAAGTAGTAAACTTGGTTAACTGTCCAGTTGGTACAAATTCATAATGAAGAATCCCTCTGAGATAAAAAAAAAAAAGTGTAGCAACATCGTTGCAACAAGTTTGTGAACTTAATTGTCAGACCTTGTAGTCTATCCACTCAAGGGAATATTACTTAGCCATAAAAAGGAATGAGGCATTGATACACAATACAATGCGGATTAACCTCGAAAACATCATGCTGAGTGAAAGAAGCCAGACCCAAAGGCCACATATATGATTCCATCTATATAAAATGTCCAGAACAGGGCCGGCCGAGTGGCACATTGGTTAAGAATTGGCTTGGAATGCCAGCTCTGAGCAGCAGGGCCCCGGTTCAGATCCCACATGCAGACCAGTAATGCTGCGCCCTCTACAGCTAAGATGGTAAACAACAGCTCGACCTGGAGCTGGGCTACTGTGAGTCGCTGGCAACGGCGTACGCTGCAGTGAGGCTGGCCGGCAGCTGGCATGCCCTTTCATGAGCTGCCGTGAGCAGCCGTCCAATAGCTGGCGAGCGACTGCCTCACCCGGGAAGAGCGCAGTGATAATACCAACATGGGCCAGTGAAACGATGTCCTCCACAACTAGACTGAAGAACAAAAAGATAGCAACTTGTCTGTTCCCCTCCCCCAATTCCCCAATAAAATCTTTTTAAAAAAAATGTCCAGAACAGGTAAATCCATAGGGACAGAAAGATTAGTGGTTGCCAGGGGCTGAGGGAGGGGAAATGGGGAGCGACTAATGGGAAAGGGATTTCCTTTTGGAGGAATAGAAATGTTCTGGAATTAGATGGAGGTGATGATTGTATAACATTATGAATGTATTAAATGCCACTGAATTGTATACTTTATTTTGTTTTAATTCTTTTAATTTTTATTTTTTTAGCTGAGCCATCCTGCCACCTGTTGGCAGCTCAGCGGCTGCTCAGCTCGGGCCGGGACTCAAACCGCTGTTGCTCAGAGCTCGCACTCTTGAGCGAGCTCTTAACCAACTGAGCCACTTGGCCGGCCCTGAATTGTATACTTTAAATGATTCATTTTGTGTATACGAATTTTACCTCAATACATTTTAAAAAAGAGATCACAAAGTCTCTGCCTTTGTTTTACAAATGAGGCCATTGAAGCCTCAAAGGGCGTCCTGGCTGCCCAGGTGTGAATCTTGGAGTGCCAAGGATGGACATGCCCTGCTCACTGGTCTCCATCCTCCCACAGCCTGCTGAGGGATGCCCAAGAAGTTCCAGGGCGAGAACACCAAGTCTGCAGCGGCCCGGGCACGGAGGGCTGAGGCCAAGGCGGCAGCTGATGCCCGGAAGCAGAAGGAGCTGGAGGATGCCTACTGGAAGGATGAGGACAAACACGTCATGAGGAAGGAACAGCGCAAGGTGTGGGGGGCTCCGGCTTGCTGTGCCTGTGGCTCAGGCAGGCAGGCATGGTAGAAGGTGGCCGGAGGCCTCTGGGGCTTTGGCCTGAAAGGCAAGGAGGCACTAGACCTGGAGCAAGGCGGGGAGGGAGGCAGAGGCATCGACTCGTACAAAGACCCTGATATGGCCACGACTTGGCACATTTGGGGAACAGCGAGGTAGCCACTGCCCTCCATGGGCTTGTTTCTCTCTTTCATGTGATGCCATGGTCAGGCTATTCTGGTGGATCTCACCCTAGGGTGATTTTGTACCCTGAGGACACTTGACAGCATCTGGAGACATTTTTGGTTGTTATAACTGGTGGGTGGAGGCCAGGTATGCTGTATATCACCCCATAGTGCTCAGGACGATCTCCCAGCAAAGAATGAGCCAGCCCAGATTTCAGCAGTACCGAGGCTGGGAAATGCTGGGATAGGTTCCCCATTTCTGACCTGCTGACCTAGGGCCTGCAGGATCTCCTATGAGTTTATAAAAACACAGAAGAGGGCAAGGATGGCTGGCTATCCCCTGATGGGCCCCAATGCCAGGCCCCAATGCCAGGCACACAATTGGTGTCTGGGAATGGTTTAGGGCTGGTGCTGACCTACTCGGCTCCAGTAGGTGGCGCCAGGGAACCGCGTGGTCGGCCCTCCTGGTTTCTGGGCTGGTCAGACTTGCCCAGAGCCCTGGGGGATGCATTGCTGACTCAGGACGGAGAAAACAGGTGTTTCCTCCATTGGAAAACTGGTAAAGGTTGTGGAAAATAGCAGTGGCGTGCGTGGTCCCTGCATGCCCAGATCATGGGGCGTCTGCGCACTCTCTGTGCAGGACTGGAGTCTGCCTTGTTTTTAGTGGACATTGAATGTCCCTGGTTCCGTCCACATTTCCCCTCATTCTGCATTGGGTTCATGGAGGTCTTTAAACTTTCTTTTTTGTTGTAAACTTTTTGACAACATAGAAAAGTTGAAAACGCAAAAGGAAAACCAGTGTCTGCCAAAGATCCATTATCTAGACAGAAAAGCCAGAAACCTTTCGACAGCCCCAGAGACAGCAGTCTGCCCAGGACCCAGGCCCTGGGAGCCCTCCCCAGGCCTTTGTCTTAGGCCTTGGGGTCATCCCTATCCTCCAGATGAGGAAACTGAGGCTTAGAGCACAGCGGCCCTGCCTGAGGTGCCTGAGCACAGAAGTGGAAACCCAGCAAACACCCTTGACCTTTAACCCTCCCTTTCATGCCATATAAGCAGGATGGAGGCCCAGTGGGTGTCCCAGGCACATTGGCCCTTCTCCTGGGACATTTAATCTTGCTACAGGAGTGTCATGGGGACATTGCAGGCGGGGACCATCCCAGAGACATAGGAGACAGATGGCAGAGTTGTAGGCAATGGGTTGGCAAGCGAGGGTGCCTTCGGTGCCGGACCCAGCCAATGGTCGCACTGCACTACAGGTGACTGAGAACCTTGCTCTGCTCCTTGGAGCAGTGGAGGGCCAATGGCCAAGGACAAGTCCTGTAGGCCACATGTCCCCTCATCCAGCTGGCATCTATCTGGGCCTCCCTGGGGAGTCAAGATGGGATTAGTCCCAGCCCCTGGGGTGCTCAGTTGGGGATAGTGCCTCCCCAAGGTCTCCTGACCGTAAGGGCAGAACTCCTGCCCCAGGTGGCAAATGGGTCCAGACCCTCCGTATCTTCTGTTACCTTTAGAAACTCGTACCCCTCCCCATGCCCTTGAGGCTCCTGGGTTTCCCTCCCCCCAAATTCCCCTCCTAACTCCAGCCACACCAGTCTCTTTGTTGCTCCTCTGTTATGCTAGGTGGTTCCTGCCTCAGGGCCTTTGCACCTGCTATTCCCACCACTCTCCTGTCCCCCAACTTTCCTCCTGGCTGGCTCCTCTTCTGGCCCAGGTGTCACTTTTTTTTTGAGAGCCACCCACCCACCTGTCTTGACCAAGCTTCCCTGTTGTTCCCATCGTCATGTAGTACAGGAGCCCCCAGTAGGCCCATCTTGCTCCCAGCTGTGTCCCCTGCACCCAGCACAGGATTAGCACACAGCAGGGTCTCAATCCATGTTGGTTGAGATGAAAACCCAGACCCTATGGCGGTAGGATGGGGTCCACTCCTGACTGCCCCATTCTCCAAGGAGGAGAAGGAGAAGCGGCGCCTGGAGCAGCTGGAGCGAAAGAGGGAGGCCCAGCGCCTGCTGGAGGAGGAGGATTTGAAGCTCAAGGGCAGCAAGGCCCCCCGGGTGGCCGTGTCCAACAAGGTCACCCGTGCCCAGATTGAGGAGACCCTCCGCCGAGACCATCAGAACAAGGAAGCCCCAGAATCAGGTATGGCGGGGCCACCTTTAGAACTGCTCTCTTACCTCTAAAACAACAGGCAGTGGACTGCCCCCTGGACTAAGTCCAGACCCCCTCCTCACCCCCGGAGAAGCTGCCTGGACTTCGCATGGTGAAGGGTGGGTGAGCAGCAGCCTATCAGGCCTGCTCTGAGGATGGACAGCACAGGCACACACGTGTGTAGTTGCTCTGTACCCAGCCTCGCTTGTGCCCGCCCTGGGGTCCCCAGGGTGTTAATGAGGCGCCTGGGGCTAAGGAGACAGCAGCCACGGTTGGATCGCCTCCGTGTGCCTGGCTCCAGGGAAGTTAGGGCAGGAGACTGGGTCCTGGGATGGCAGGACCAGCCCACCCAGTAGGTTGGGAGGGCTTCCCAGCTCAAGTCGTGTTTCTGCCCTCCCGCCATCATTCTCCCCTCACTTTTTCCCCCACTGTGCCTCTCTCTGGCTCTGCATATGTCTCTGTCACCCGGCCTGCTGTCCGCTCCCAGCTGAGAAAGCCAAGAGCCACTTGGAGGTGCCTCTGGAGGAAAATGTGAACCGCCGTGTGTTAGAGGAGGGCAGCATTGAGGCGCGCACCATTGAGGATGCTATCGCAGTGCTCAGGTAGCGGGGCGGGGCCTGTGCTGTGGGGTGGGGCTTGGACCTCTGGGGAGGGGCTTTAAACCTGCGGTGGGGCTTGGGCCTCTGAGGGCAGAGTACTGGCTTGATCTTGGGAAGGGGGGTCTAACCTGGTGCGGGGGGGGGGGCTGCGCCCCTGCCCCCTTGACACCAGTGTCCACTTGTAGTGTAGCAGAGGAGGCGGGAGACAGGCACCCCGAGCGCCGCATGCGAGCAGCCTTCACCGCCTTTGAGGAGGCGCAGCTACCCCGGCTCAAGCAAGAAAACCCCAACATGCGGCTGTCGCAACTGAAACAGCTGCTCAAGAAGGAGTGGCTGCGCTCACCAGACAACCCCATGAACCAGCGGGCTGTGCCCTTCAACACTCCCAAGTGAGCCCGACTGGGGAAACCGCTCCATGGGAGGTCAGGGTTGTGAGCCGGCACCCCTCGGTTGGTCAGCTCCGAGGGTTACAGAGAGGGTGAGGGTTACAGAGAGGTCCGGGAGCCTGGGCTTCTGTCCTGGGAGCTAAGGGGCATCATTGGCTGTGCCTCCTGCTGAGGGTCCCTGCTCCAAGTGACATCCACCCCCTTCCTGCGTGCAGCCCAGGGCTAAGTGCCCAATAAAGGCAGTCTGTGAGGCAAACTGTGCGCTTCAAGTTTCCTGGGGTGGGTGGTGGGGAGAGGGCTGGAGTGAGGGGGGATCCACAGGTCACAGCCAGAGATGAAAAGGACTCCCAGCAGTGTTCCTAATAACTGACCCTGTTCTAGGGCGCCCTTCTTCTGGCTGGGCCACTTGTCCGGTGAGGAGCCTGTGCCTCCATGGCGGAGCCTTGCTTGCCTGCTGCTGCAAGGGGGCAGCTCAGAGAGCTTGAGCCACTGGCTCCAGGTCATGCAGCACAAAGGGGGATGAACCAGAAGAGTGGAGGCGAGTTGTTTTCATCCTGAGGTTCTGGTTCAGAGTCAGTGGCCAGGTCACATACTGTGCTTGGGGTCAGGAAATGCTGGCTGCTCTGCTATTCTTCCAACATGGGAGGCATCTGGGTTGAGTCCTGGGCAGGCTTCCTGGTGGAGGATTTCTTCAAAGAGGGTCTTAGTGGGAGATGAATCAGATTCCATCGCAGAGGCAGGGCACTGGGCAGGCAAGGGCATAGAGGTTGGATCAGGCAGGTGGATCCGGGTAGCAATGAGTGTCCCTTCAGAGGTTGCATGTCTGGGTGAGATCTGAACCTAGTTCCAGCTTGCTAGAGCTTCGTCAGCCTCAGAGAGTCAGTAGAGAGGGAGGGCAGCTGGGAGATGGGCCCATATGTGTGGAGCCGGGTCCAAGCATTTACCAGGTCACTGCTATGACTCCCACTCAAGTGACACCCTCCTTGCTCCCACAAGGCTGCTCCTGTGGCCTCCTCACCCCATCTCCATCCCCCTCTCAGCTCCAGCCCTTCCTGCCTCCTTGCTCTCAGCTTCTCAGCTTGTTCCCGCTCAGGGCCTAAGCCCTGTTGGTTGGTTCTTCCTGCCAAGAAAGCTATTCTCCCAAATCTCAAGTCTCAGATGCATATCCTCACAGATAGCCCCAACTCTGTGGGGTCAAGGTTGGGCCAAAGGGGGCCAGGCTCTGCCCAGAGGTAGGGAGGTAGAAGACTTCATGGAGGCAGGACCTTGAAGGATGCATAGGAGTTCTCCACACAGACAAGGGCAAGAAAAGGCACCAAAGAAGCCACACATACAAAGTCCTGGAGGTCATAACTCTCCTGTGCAAGGAAAAGGTGCCATTAATAACTGGGTACAGCTGAAATGCAGTATGGAGGCTTCCTGGAACAATGGCAGCTGGCATAAAAACTAACCAACATACGAAGTCTGACAATTAAGTTCGTGATCTCATCCTAGAAAAAGTGCTCCATACCTCATTGCTAAATGTCACTACAGTTGCCTTCGAAGTACTCCCCTTGGGAAGCTATGCACCAACGCCAGCACCTAGTCCATCATTCAAAGCAATTTTGGAACTCTTTTTGAACTGGCCATCAGAGCTGTTGTCATATTACCGTTGATGTCCTGAATGTCATAAAAATGTCTTCCTTTCAATATTTCCTTTAACTTCGGGTAAAGAAAGAAGTCATTGGGGGCCAGATCAGGTGAGTAGGGAGGGTGCTCCAATACAGTGATTTGTTTACTAGCTAACAACTCCCTCACAGACAGTGCCATGCGAGATGGTGCATTGTCGTGATGCAAGAGTCATGAATTGGCGAAAAGTTCAGGTCTTCTAACTTTTTCACACAGCTTTTCAGCACTTCCAAATAGTAAACTTAGTTAACCAGTTGATACAAATTCATAATGAATAACCCCTCTGGTATCAAAAAAGGGTAGTAACATCATTGCTACAAGTTTGCGAACTTAATTGTCCAAGACCTCATATAGTGAGCACTGGCTTAGTTTAGGAATACCCCAGGAGCTGACCCTGAGACAAGGACTAGAGGGCAGTGAAGGATCCAGAAAGACCCTGTGGGAGTTTGGGAAGAGAGGTAGAGGGATGGAGCCCTGCAGGGGATGCCAATGAGCTGAGTCCCCATCAGAAAGTGAGGGGACTGGACCAGCTGTGATAAGCATCCCCTGGATGCTGGGCCCTGGTAGTATCATCTCGTGAGCCCTGAGGACAGCCCCATGAAGTATCGACCCCCTATACAGATGGGAAAACTTAAGTCACCTGCCAGGGTTACACAGCCAGGAAGCACCCAGAGCTCTGGGGGAGACAGCAGGGATGCTTGTGGGGTCATGAACTGGGGCTGAAGATGTCAGCTAAATAACTGGTGGAGGAGCCCAAATGGCTCCCCACAAATAGAGGCCTCTGCCTGACACCTCTGGGGTCTCAGTGGGTCTGAGCCTGTTAACTTCTGTATAAAATGGGATTAAAAACAATATCTACCCCTAAGCTGTTGTCACGCAGCTGTCCAGCCGTCTGTCCCCCCGCGCTTAAACCCTAAACTGACCCCTTTGAGGACACTGCTCATACACCTTGCGTCTCCCTGTTTGGCCCCAAAGGATGGCCTGTTAGTCAATGATGGGTAAGATTTCTCGTAGGAGGAACAACCTAAGACAGGCTGATTGGAGGCCATCAGGAGAAATCTCGGGGCTGATGGAGGTGGGCATGAGCCCTTACTCGCCCCTCAAAGAGACTGGAGGTTTTCGACCTCTGTAGCTACATTCCTTCCCTCAACCTGCTTGGGAAGTGACCTAATGGTGTATTAGTATCTGTCCTCAGCACAATAATCTTATCTTCCTGGGGTCTGTGCATATAGGGTGTGTGAAGGCAGAGCATCTGACTTATCATCCGTGGGTGGAGTCTTGGTATTAGCAGCTTGCAGGCATGGGTAATCTGGCTTGAGAAAATTCCCAGGAATGAGACTCAGACTGTGGAGAGAACAATGCTACTTCCGGGTAGGTGGAGAAATAAAAGCGGTGTGTTGGCCCAATTCGGGGCTCTTAGTCCACAAGACTGGAGACCCTTGGCCCACACTCATTTAACTATTGGCTGCTGTTTCTTTTATTTCTTAACCCTTCGCCGCCCCCTCTCGTTTTCCCACGGCTCATGTCGTGCTGAACGTGACACTAAACTACCTCAAGAATCAACGAGATGGTGTCTGGGAAGGGCATATTCTGAAGAAGGGCTTGGCAAGAGAGCCTCCTGCATGGCGACTTTGAGGTCTTTGGGGTTGGGGATGAGGGGAGGTTGGTGCCCAATGGTGATTAACCCGAGGGAAGAAGCCAGCTAGGGCAGGCATGCAGGGCCTTAGACTCCAGGCTGAGGAATGGGGCGTTACGCCAGAATGATAGGGAGCCCTGGCAAGTGTGAGTACAGGAGGAAGGGTATTGGAGCTGTGATCAGCGAGCTCTGCTGCGGACCTGTATGGGGACGGCCAGTGGACCAGAGAGTAAAGATAAAACTCAGGACAGTAGCCGAAAGGATCGCCGTCATTCCACAGACATAAAGATGATGGTAATAACGTCTGCTCCCTTCCACAGAGAAGCCCCTTCTCTCTCCGACTTCGCTCCCGCGGAATCCCGAGCCCGCGCGTGCGCGCAGGCAGTAGGGAATCCCTGGCTTCGCCGCAGTGCGCGGGAGGGGGCGTGAGACGGGAGTTCCGTACCCTTCCAACCCTCCCCGCGCGTGTTGCCTGGACGACCGGGCGGAGCCGCGGGGACGCCGAGGGCTCACTGCGCCTGCGCGGCGGTGCTCCCTTCACGCGCCAGGGCTTTCCCGTTGCACGCAAGTCGCGGGGCGGGAACACCGCGCCCAGCGCGCATGTGTCAACACCCGCCGGACCCCCGCCGGTGGGCCAGGGAATCCTCACTCGCCGCAGTGCGCACTGGGGGCGGGGCGGGGAAACCGGTTCAAGCTGGAGTGGTGTCCGCTTTTGAGGTGGCGGGGGAGGGAGCGAGAGCAGGGTCTTCCCGAGGTTCCCACTTCGGCCCTCGCCGTAGCCGTGGCAACCCGGCGCGCTGTCCGCAATGCGGGGGCGGCAGCGGCCTCAGGGAAGCCGGGCGGCTCTGCGCCTGCGTGGAGCTCCGCTTCTGTGGCCGGGGTTCCCTCTTGTGTGCCGGGGGGGATTGGCTGGGGAGGAGAGGAGAGGGTGGGCTACTGGGACGGGGTGAACGCGGAGGGAGGGGCTGTGGAGGAGGGGTGGGTGCGGGAAGAGGTGGGGGAAACGCGCAGGGTAGGGATGATGGGGAGAGGGGTGCAGAAGGAGGAGGGGCCGGGAGAGGGCTTAAAGGGAGGAGGACAACAAAGGAAACGGGGGGGGGGAGGAGATCTTTGGGGAGCAGTTAAAGAACATGGACAATGTGAGGGAGACAAAGAGAAGTCCATTGAAGGTGGCACGGGTGTTGTGGGTGTGACTGGCTGGGAAGCTGGGGGAGAGGACAGACACCTTCTGGAGCTCCCCGTACCCCAGCCAGGTTTGCTTGCCCAGAAGATCCAGGCCTAGGGTTTCCAGATTTAGAAAAGAAAAAAAATACAGGACGCCCAGTTAAACCTAGCTTTCAGATAAACAACGAATATCATTTTTTTATTATAAGTATGTCCCATTCCATGCCCTGTATTTTACCCCTAATCTTGGTGGGGCCACCCATCTTTCCTCCCCTTCTCCCACATCGCCTGTCCCTTGAGCCATTCTGAAAGCAATGGGGACCTCGCGGATGATGCTGTTTTGTCTCTCACCTCCCGGATTCCCTACAGCCCAGCATGCCGGTTACCCCCCGCGCCATTCCCTGTGCCATCTCCCATCCTCCTGGCCTTCAACACCAGCCTGAGGTTGAGTCCTGGCCAGGCAGTGAAATGCGCAATGGCGTGGCGCTCACACGCACCTTCAGGGGCCTAATTTTTCCCTTAACCCACACCCCCTCCCAAATCTCAGCCATTGGCCTGGCCTTGCTGAGGTGTTGTGTTCTTGCTCATCCCAACGCCATCACCTCCTGGAACCTCCAGGGCTCCCTGCTCTAGGCCTGCGACCCCAAGACCTTCCTCCCCAACTGCCAGGCTTCCCCCTCAATCTCTGGGCACATAGCATATAGTAGTTGCTGGAAAAAACATTTGAAGGTAATTTTAGGGAGGCAAGTATGGGGGGAGTGTTTGATTTCTCAACAGGGAGAGGTGTG